GTAATCTGAAACACATTAATTATCTAAGTTGATTTGACGAAAGAAAAAAAAGTTACAGACACAGTGTAGCCTATCTGCTTCACAATGTTTGGTTAATTTGATTTAATAGCCTGTTAAATTAATCAATGAATAAACCAACCAACCAATTAAGAGTAATTCGATGACATGTAATACATCTGTGTAAATATATTCTATGCGTTTATAAACAACCTTTCAGCAACCACCCAAGTCACAAGCTAGCGCCAACAGAAGTTGCTTTAGCCTGAGGAAGCAACTATAGCAACAGTAGGCTACACCGATCGAGCTACTTGTTTAGATCATTATCAGACGGTAAGTCTACAAAACTTTAGTAGCCCTTGTCATTATCACTTATTATAGGTTTACATAGATCTACCACAACACATGTAATAACTAAAACTGAAGTGTTTGTTTGGGCCTACATTCTCTTTACCATTGCCTAGGTGAGAGTTGGCTAACATGGGGCGACAACAGAATAATGTTTGCGCCTGACTGAGGAACCTCAACAAATTAAGGATGAAAAACAAAACATAATAACACATTTTATTATTCGCACACTGACATGAGGGTGAACGCCTGTAATAGGATGTTTGACCTTAAGTGGATAGTTCACACAAAAAAAAAAAATGTTGAAAATTGGGGGGGGGGGCAATGGCCATCGTCAACTGACACCAACATTCTTTAAAATATCTTTTTTTGTGTTCAACAGAAGCAATAAACTCATACAGGTTTGGAACAACATGAGTGTGATTAAATGGCAATAAATGGTGACAACATTTTCATTTTTGGGTAGGCCTAAACCATCCCTTAAAATTTGTAACTGTGATGGGATCGCGGCGTATCAGCACAGCTGCTCGGCAAATTTTTCATGCTGATAAAACAAGTATTATGATACTACTTTTTGTGACAGTTTTGCATGTACCTCGATAAAACACATGTGTTTTATGTAGTGATATGCATATTCTTTGTCATTAGGTAAATGTTTGCTCAGCTCTTAACATTCTCAGCTGCTTCACGGCTCACAAGACATTCAAACAATTCAAACTGTCGAATGAAACAAATTTATTAGACTATGAATTTGTTTGCAACATAGAAAGGAACTGTTTAAACGAGATGTAAAGCTTTATTATGTGTAGGCTATAAATAGATAGACATGTCGTGAACTTGTCTTCCAGTAGAAAGCCTTTACATTCGTGTGCTTATGGCGCCACCATGTGGTGAATATTAGATAAAACAATCTAAAGGAAGCTGTAGGCCTATACATTTTAATCTTATTCCTACTTGGCGAATTTTTCAGTTTCTGTGTTTATTTACATGATTAATAGAGACTGTACTGTGTAGGCTATAATTTAATAGCCTATATATGCTATAGCTAGTACATTATTATACAAGTATAGCCTATGTATATCCTATTCATGTAGGCTATATTAAATAGGCTACATATAGCGTACAGTCTTTATTAATCATGTAAATTAACACATAAACTGAATAATAATCTATTTTGTAGATATGCTTGATAGATGCTGCTTTTAAACAATCTGTATTGTATAATGTGCTATATACAGGTCCTTCTCAAAAAATTAGCATATTGTGATAAAGTTCATTATTTTCCATAATGTAATGAAAAAAATTAAACTTTCATATATTTTAGATTCATTGCACACCAACTGAAATATTGCAGGTCTTTTATTGTTTTAATACTGATAATTTTGGCATACAGCTCATGAAAACCCAAAATTCCTGTCTCAAAAAATTAGCATATCATGAAAAGGGTCTCTAAACGAGCTATTAACCTAATCATCTGAAACAACTAATTAACTCTAAACACCTGCAAAAGATTCCTGAGGCTTTTAAAAACTCCCAGCCTGTTTCATTACTCAAAACCGCAATCATGGGTAAGACTGCCGACCTGACTGCTGTCCAGAAGGCCATCATTGACACCCTCAAGCAAGAGGGTAAGACAGAAAGAAATTTTTGAACAAATAGGCTGTTCCCAGAGTGCTGTATCAAGGCACCTCAGTGGGAAGTCTGTGGGAAGGAAAAAGTGTGGCAAAAAACGCTGCACAACGAGAAGAGGTGACCGGACCCTGAGGAAGATTGTGGAGAAGGACCAATTCCAGACCTTGGGGGACCTGCGGAAGCAGTGGACTGAGTCTGGAGTAGAAACATCCAGAGCCACCGTGCACAGGCGTGTGCAGGAAATGGGCTACAGGTGCCGCATTCCCCAGGTCAAGCCACTTTTGAACCAGAAACAGCAGCAGAAGCGCCTGACCTGGGCTACAGAGAAGCAGCACTGGACTGTTGCTCAGTTTTGCATGTCATTCGGAAATCAAGGTGCCAGAGTCTGGAGGAAGACTGGGGAGAAGGAAATGCCAAAAATGCCTGAAGTCCAGTGTCAAGTACCCACAGTCAGTGATGGTCTGGGGTGCCATGTCAGCTGCTGGAGTTGGTGCACTGTGTTTTATCAAGAGCAGGGTCAATGCAGCTAGCTATCAGGAGATTTTGGAGCACTTCATGCTTCCATCTGCTGAAAAGCTTTATGGAGATGAAGATTTCATTTTTCAGCACGACCTGGCACCTGCTCACAGTGCCAAAACCACTGGTAAATGGTTTACTGACCATGGTATTACTGTGCTCAATTGGCCTGCCAACTCTCCTGACCTGAACCCCATAGAGAATCTGTGGGATATTGTGAAGAGAAAGTTGAGAGACGCAAGACCCAACACTCTGGATGAGCTTAAGGCCGCTATCGAAGCATCCTGGGCCTCCATAACACCTCAGCAGTGCCACAGGCTGATTGCCTCCATGCCACGCCGCATTGAAGCAGTCATTTCTGCAAAAGGATTCCCGACCAAGTATTGACTATTGAGTGCATAACTGAACATAATTATTTGAAGGTTGACTCTTTTTTTGTATTAAAAACACTTCTTTTATTGGTCGGATGAAATATGCTATTTTTTTGAGACAGGAATTTTGGGTTTTCATGAGCTGTATGCCAAAATCATCAGTATTAAAACAATAAAAGACCTGAAATATTTCAGTTGGTGTGCAATGAATCTAAAATATATGAAAGTTTATAAATTTTATCATTACATTATGGAAAATAATGAACTTTATCACAATATGCTAATTTTTTGAGAAGGACCATAGCTAAATAAAGGTGACATAGTAATATTTACACTTTGTTATAACAAACCACGTTGTAACTTTGGCACCACAGTTATTTTACTTAAAACATTATTTTTTTTATTTTTTTTTAGTATAGGCTGGAATGAGTGAAACCTTGAAGTCGATAGAGCCTTGAAAAAATGAAATGTTGCCTATATTGTTTGTAATGCAGATGTGGGCCTTTTAAAGGAAAAATATTGATCATGATTTATTCTCATTAAGATATTTTAAGAAACAGTTATTCCAAGTTATTTAAATAAAATATATAAATATTTCCCCCTCGTTGTCACCTCTGCATAATTTATGTTTACTTTGATGCTAATAATGATATAGATGAGATTTTCTTTGCAGTGCCTTCAGGAAAACATGTGACCTTGTGATATTTTAATATTATTATTATTTCACAGACAAACTTATAACAGTGAATAAATACATTTGAATGTGAGTGTTGTAAATGGGTGCCTCACATTCTTTTTTCTCTCATTCCTCCCCCCTTCTGGACAGGTTCAAATCTTCAATAGGCTAACCTGACATGTTGAATGTTGATGATATACAGTGCTTAAATCGGCAGTGCTCTATGTACTTTTTTCCTTTCACAACTTTCAGAATGTATTTGAGCATTAATACATTGTTTTGAACTGTTGTTTCAACCCATGTTTGGGTTAAACGGACAAACACAAACCTTGGTTTAATTTTTTTAATTAAACTATTTAAACCCAACAGTTGGGTTTGTGCATATATGACCCAAACATGGGTTTAAACAACCCAACATTTTTATAGTGAAGTCTATTTCAAGTTATTTTCACGCTGAGGAGACAAACTTTTAGACGCATTGGGCACGTTATTCCTTTCTATAAAAACGTCCGACAATAGTTAAGATGATCTCGGTAGTGATTTTCAACTTGATGGAATTTAGCAAGTTTAGGCTTCTTATAATGTCATATCGTCACCAATAGGGGGCAGTATATGTCCATAATTTCGGCTTTTGACAAAACTATAGGCCTAACAAAATAGTGAAAAGTGAAAAACGTTTTATTTTTGTTTAAAAGGTTGCAAAAATGGCCTATTCTCTATAAAAAGTAAAAGTCTATTTTTATGCTTCTGATTGTCTATTAGAAACGGCTTCATTGCTGCCTTCGTTTTTAAAGTCAAAGTTGTGATAAAGTTACATTCTGCAGCGATAAGTTAATTGCACCTTGACCACGCTGAATTTGACTGAAGAAAAATGTACGAAGAACTTGTATAAAATGCCTTGTATACAATTGTATAGAAGACAAATTATCGTGAGACGGAAATAAAATTGTTGTATATAAAGATTTGTGAACAGGTGCCTATGTTTTTGGGATAGCACTGCACTTTACCAGATAATAATGTTATGCTAAATTGAACATGGTCAGTCATGCCTTTTATCAAGAATAGGCCTAATAATATGCTAAATGCAAACAAGAAAGATAAGAATAGGTATGTTTATTTAACCAAACGTGACAAAACGTCATGCGTTATAAAAGACCATCCAAGTTGAAGCGTTTTATTTGATTGTTTTCTACCATAATATTTCAGGAAGGCCTATAGGCTACTCTATTAATGTTATGATGGTTGCATTTATTTAATTGCATTAATGAATCAGCGGAAGAGATTCTCGAGGCTGTTATTGACAAATAAAGTGCAGTGACCATAAATTAGACCACGAACATATTGTTCAACTGCAAAGAGACAACACATTTTGACTTTATTAAATATATATTTTATTAGTTAATTTTATAGCTAGACATATCAAAAACTATCCCTTGATACTGAAATGTTACAAGCTGATGGAAACATTGTTCTTGACGTAGGAGCATAATCGTCTGGTAGTTCTGGGATATTGTTTGGCTATTGTCCTCTACTCTTGACTAATAACATGTTTGGTATGATAACGAAGCTAGTAATTGGTGGGGAAAGTCAAAGAAGTTGGTTTTATTCCTTATGATCCAAGTTCCACCAGGCTGGCCGTCATGGTGTGGAGGAGGCCGTCGTGCATGGAGAAGTGATGGTGGCTCTGGGAGTCTGAGCCGCTGACGGGGATGATGGAGGCGCTGGGGCCGGGCGGAGGAGCAAAGCTGTGCAGGGGGGGCAGACCTGAACTGGGACCCATGAGCATGGCTGGGCTCATGGAGCTGTGATCCGGAGTCGCCGCGGGAGATTTGTCATCCTCTGAACTTTCGCATGGAGATTTGTTTTCGTGTGAGGTGAGTGGGTTGTGGCCGCTTGGATTTGCACCATCATTTTCTCTGTTGGAGCAGATCATTCAAATTCGTTAACAGGACGGCAGACACAAAAATAACCGCTTACGCTTGCACATGATACAAACTAACACCTGGATTGTGCATAATTAAATATAGCAAATAAAATGCATGATGCTTTTATTTTTCAGCATTAGGAGGACATTTTAAGAAAAAGCTCAATTTAGGCTAAATGAATTATATTTGTGAACTATATTTAACAATTATAGTAATTATATGATTTTGATAAGTCAGTCTTAAGCAAGCACCTTCTTTTGCTCCGTTTCTCGATACTTTTGAGATTGAGTTGAGATTTTCAAATTACACATTTAAATACACAAGATTTTAAAAGATGAATAGCCTAATAATAAATATCCTTATCTATATTTTAATAATAGGATATATGGATAATATGAATAGGCTATTATCTGTATTTATTTTTACTTTTTTTATTATTATTATTATTTTTTTTTTAGGCATAGTTATTTTGTGGTCAAAGAATCACTTTTGCGCCACTTATTGATTAAAAAGACAGGTGAAAAAACAGCATATACATTTTCGTGCACTGATGTCATACAATTAAGAACTTTATAGAATGTTCTATTTGCGGTTATAGGCCTACATGTTTTCTAAAAGTCCAGTTGTTTTTTAAATCTTTGACATTCAAATTTCCTCTGTTAATTGATTGTCTTTATTAGCCTATTTTTTTATTACCACCAAGGACACTAATTAATGTAATTTCTTTACACGTTTTACATATTGTAGCCTATATGGACATGGCCGTAGCCAGCTATGAGGTCACCGAGGTCCGGACCTCGGTCATTTTTTTTACATTCAAAAATAAAATGTCAAGCTCTCTGAATGATTAATTAGCAGTGTTTAAACCACCTCATATGAGTGTTTGCAATTCATGTTGCTGCGAGAAGCTGGCGCAGTGAACTGAACGGGGCTTGAGAGCGCGTTGTGAACGCGGGTGCAGCCTCCGTGTTGCCAGATCCACCTAATAGAAAGGTGGCAGTAGTCACCTGTTTTTCTGATTTAATGTGACACTTTAGGAAGTTATTAATGTGGAAAGGTTTAGTGATATATTAACCTTATTTCCAAAACACAAGCTTTGAACTTATTTCGGATTATTATTATTATTTTGTTTTGCTTGTTTTTCGTAGCAATATCTGGCAACATTTAACTGTCGGCATTAATGTCATTTAAAAAAAAGAAGCTTATAGACAAACTGTAATTGCATAAAGCTACCACATTCGGTAAGACAAACGCAATGACAATCGATTATCTGTAAGAAATGTATAACACTATCAAAAACAATAGCATAAAACAGATCTGTATGTTAGCCTACAGAATGAAATTTGCCAAATAACTTACTGGCCAGCTGGAAGACGGCGCATGCTGTTTAGTTAACCTTTCACAAAGCCATCATAAAAACATGAATTAAAGCAGTGTTTCTCAACTAGCAATCTATTCAGTCAGCATATTTGTGTTTGATCTGTGTGAATTTCGTCCGAATTTGACGAGTGATTAAAAGATGGCTAATTCGTAACAGTTCGTACGACCTCACTCGTACGAATTAGTACGATTTTTGCTAAAACGTACATATTTGACGAGTTGCCCAATTCGTATGAATTCGTACGAATGACCCTGACCCCGCCCCTAAACCTACCCATCACGTGGGTTTAGACAAATCGTACAAATTCGTACGAATGAGGTCGTACGAATTCGTACGAATTAGCCATCTTTTAATCACTCGTCAAATTCGGACGAATTGGTCGTGAGATTGCGTTGCACTTGCTAGACCTACTTTTTCTTTGCACAAAACTCTCCAGAAAGTGCCATTTTGGTTTATTTTTCACAAAAAAAATCCCGGGGGGGGCAAACCCTCGGACCCCCCTAGTGAGAGACTACCCCACACATAATTAAATCCAAATTTAACCCCTGTATATATATATATATATATATATATATATATATATATGCCAAATTCCATTTAAAAAAAGGGTCACAGCTTAATGTCCATTGGGAAATGTGGGTCCAATGGCCAAACCATTATTATAGCAAAATTCTTTACACAACACCCCGGACCTCACTAATTTTCAAACCCTGGTTACGGCCTTGTATATGGATTGTACATATTGATCAGAAAGATAACAGCTTGTTTAAAATATTGAGCGTAATGGTGTTCTTCCTACCTTTCCTTTGCTTCTGCGGCACGATCCCTCTGCCTTCTGTTCTTGAACCAGTTGCTGACCTGCGTCGTGGTGAGGCCCGTGGCCTCGGCCAGTTCTCGCTTCTCTCTCGGAGAAGGATACGGGTTGTGAGTGTACCACTCTTTAAGCACACACCGGCTCTTCTCCTTAAAACAGTAGCTCGTCTCCTCTCCATCCCAAATGCTGCGAGGCAGCGGGAACTTTCTGCGCACTCGGTACTTTCCCACTGCGCCCAGAGGACGACCGCGCAATTTCTCCGCTTCGACGTAGTGAGCTTTTAGCCAGAGCTGTTGCAGTTTAGGGTGGTTGTGCGGAGAAAACTGGGTACTCTCTAATACTTTGTAGAGCTCCCTGAAGTTGCCTCGGTGGAAAGCAACCACGGCTTTCGCTTTCAATACGCTCTCGTTTTTGTGGAGGTGCTCACAAGCAGGTAAGGACCACAGAAAGCGTCCGAGACGTTCGATACTCCCACCTTGCTGAAGGACCTCGCAAACGCAGGCAACCTGCTCTTGGGTAAATCCAAAAGTTGGTGGCAAAGACATAGTTGAGGGCAATGGGATACTTGATGTCCTGTGCGTATCTCACCCACTCTTAACGTTGGTTTTTAAGGTGATATCCACTTTGGAAACTCACGCAATGAAGTTCCTCCAACTGATGAGTGTCAGTTCTTGATGTACATTTTCCATGAAAAAAAGTCCAAAGTAAAAACAAAAGAAAAACTAGCAGTTTGAGTGAGCGTGTTGCATTGCTCAATCACATTAGTTGCAATATCCTGACGCGCTAATTATTATACGCGCTCTCGTTGTGCGCAAAAGATTGTTTCCTCGACTGTCCTTAGCTATCAGCCCGCCCTCTGGTTATCATATCTCTTACAGACTCAATAGTGTGTTTGGACGGATAGCGCATCCTCCTGGGGAATCATACAGGCAAGTGTGGAGAGAAGTTGTGTAGCAGAAACTGACCCTGCCTCTTGGATATAGAGTGGCACTTGGATGACATGCACCTCGGGGGAAGGAGTGCGCGCAACACACTCCCAAAACAGACACTGCGGTGCTCTATTATAATCACAAAATAAGGGAGAATCTGGCTATAGCTACAGTGACATGTTTTTGTTATCATTAACAAAAAAAAACCTTTTGATAAACTGTAGTTTCATTTCACCATCACTTGTATGCAAATGCATAGGCAAGACATTAATAGCTACTGCATTTACGTCATTTTCTAAACTAATATGTACATAATACTAATACTAATCATAAACATAGTAAAAGATTTGTGCAATTTTGCAAATATAAACATAAAGTACATTTGGGAAACAAATTAAATAGGAGAAAACTGTTTAAATATCTCTTCGAATTAATTATTTTATTAGTAATGGATGGCTGGCACCAGAGGTTTGCTGGATTGATGTTTGTGACGAGAAGTCTCTGGTGTCGTGTATCTGACGAGTTATTTTGGAATGTAACGCGACTCCAGCGTACTTTTTCATATGGACATTGTAATTCTAGCATTTGGTTCCAGAGGGACACAGATATTTGGCAAATTCGTTTTATGGGTAGCTAATATATTCAGCTCTCACCGAGTCATGAAAATAATTTGATGTTAGTTTGCATATGAAAGCAAAACATATTAGGCCTTTGATCGAATATGCTGCTCAGTGGAATTAATATATTTTATTGCATTACAAAATATAGTAGTCATAAAACTATTACTGTATTACTGCATTTTAAATGTAATTCACATCTTAAAATATAATGGTTCTCCACTGGTTATTTTAAGGTTCAGCAACAACAAAAAGGTCTTCATCAAGCACAATTTTATTCTTTGGTTCTATTGAGATTAAAAACAGTTTTTGACGTTACATTATATGTTCTTCAGATCGGTGTTAGAATAAAGGGTTTCTTTTTTGATTAATTGGAACCTTAATTATAAGATTTTTTTTTAAAGTCAGAAGTTTCTTTTTTAAGAAGTAACCAGTAGCGTATACCTCACATATCTTTATGCATTCAGAACAGTGGTCACGTATTTCCCCTAAGTAAGCTACCTTTAAATTTGCATGGCATGTTTCACGTTTGCATTGTGGCATAGGCTATTGATTACGTATTAAAAGTGTCTTTTTGTAAAAAAAAAGAAAAAAGAAAAAGTCCACACCCATTTTAATAGCCCGCCGACACATGCTCATTCTCACACACGTGTACACACAGACGTAAAGGGTTGAGTTTTCAGTAAAAGGACCTGATTGATTATATATGGATGGGATTATTTTCCAGTGAAGGGGAGGAGGTGTCTGGGCAGCCGTTAGCCAGTCTGAGACCGCCACAGCAGCAGAGATGGGCGATGGAAGTGCCTTCAGCTCACAGCACGACAGAAGGAGTCAGTTCAAGTCCATTTTGAAAGCCATTCTTTATTCAGGGGAGCTGCTTCACGCTAGCTTTGCTGTGTCATTCTAAACCCTGTGTCAGAGACAGTGAGCCGAGCTTGGCTGCTGTCTGGGGCTCCAGCCTCTGACCTTGATGATGGAGACGATGTTTGCCTGCTCTTAAAGGACTAGCTTACTCTTTAATGAACAAATTACTGTTCACAGATTGACGGTTTTTCCTAAAGATAGTTTACTCAAAAATGGAACTTATGTCATCATCTGCCTCACCATCACTTCTTTCCAAACCTGTATGAATTTCTTTATTCTGCAGAACACAAAAGAAGACATTTTGAATAATGTTTCAACTGTTTTTGTCCGTACAGTAAAAGTAAATGGGGTCCAAAACAACAATGGACGCCAATTTTTCTTAATCTTCTTTTGTGTTCAGCCGAAGAAAAAGTCAATACAGCTTTGGAACAACATGAAGGAGAGTAAATAATGATAAACTTCCCATTTTTGGGTGGACTATCCCTTCAAAGGTGAATCATAGTACTTAAAGGGATAGTTCACCCAAAAATGAAAATTAGCCCATGATTTACTCACCCTCAAGTCATCCTAGGTGTATATGACATTCTTCTTTCAGACGAATACAATCTGAGTTAAATAAAAAAATGTCCTAGCTCTTCCAAGCTTTATAATGGCAGTGAACAGTTCCTGTTGTGAAGTCAATAAAAGTGAATCTATCCATCATAAAAGCGCTCCACACGGCTCCGGGGGGTTAATAAAGGCCTTTGTGAAGCGATGCGTTTGTGTAAGAAAAATATCCATATTTAAAACTTCAAACTAATCTCTAACTTCGTGACCGGTGTTTTGTTTTGCTTTTTGTGCTTCCACGTTTGTCACCGGAACTACACCTGTGTCCTACGTCATACGCTGGAATGCCAGTCTCTCGTGAAGTTAGAGATTACAGTTTGTAAAGTTTTAAATATGGATATTTTTCTTACACCAACGCATCGCATAGCTTCGCTTCAGAAGGCCTTTATTAACCCCCTGAAGCCGTGTGGAGCACTTTTATGAAGGATAGATGCACTTTTGTGGACTGCCATTATAAAGCTTAGAAGAGCCAGGACATTTTTTAATAAAACTCTGATTCTATTCGTCTGAAAGAATAATGCCATAGGATGACTAGAGGGTGAGTAAATCCTGCGCTAATTTTCATTTTTGGGTGAAATATCCCTTCAAAGAGATTAAGCCAAAAATAAAATTTTGTCATCATTTACGCATCCTCATGTTATTGCGAACCTGTATCACATCCTTTTTGTCAGCAAAAAAAAAAAAGAAGATACTTTGAAGAATGTTTCAACTGTTACAAGGAAAGTAAATGGGGTCCAAAACAACAATGGATGCCACTGATTTCCCTGTATGGACAAAACCATTTTGATTACCATGATTTCCATTGTATTCCATTTCTCAAAACATCCTCTTTTATATTCCACAGAAGAAAGAAAGTTATGCAGATTCGGGAAAAAAAAACATGAACACATGATGTCAGAATTTTCCTTTTTTTGGGTGAACTATGACTTTTCCATATGTTTATCTGTTACAGTGAAACCAGCTGACATTCTCTATATGTACCTGATCATCTTGCTTTATTTTTCATTTAAAAAAATGACTGTATTAAACTTTCAAACTTTTCTTCTTTAAAAACCCCCCAAAAAACTCTTGTTGGCATTAGTTACAGTAAAAGCATTTTATTCTGTGATTTGCCATCCAAGGAAATGCACATCCCCACCTGAACCGAAAGAGGAAGAAAAGGCAATCCAAGCAGCTCTCTCCACACACCTGCACCTGTCTAATGTTTCATGGGCCATGAGTGAGAAAGAGGTCTGCTAATCTGCCCACGCGGCTGGGCAGCGTTCGTTTCTTCTGGAGGCCCGTTGCTGACCATGCAGTGGCCTAAGCTTTTTTCTTTATTCAAATCAAGGCAGTTGTGTAGGGGGCCATGGGCAGAGACACCCAACACCCGGCAATCACACTGTCCTCCACTCACAGCGCACACTCTAAATGATTAATGAAGCTGGCTCACCTTCCCTCTCAGGAGGGACGCGAAACCTGATAGCGCCGGGAGAGGCTGCGCTCAGTGTGTGTGTGTGTGTGCGCGTGTGTGTTTTCTCATGAGCGAGAGCTCTAGGAGAAGACGTGTAGGGCCATAAGTTTCATCAGTGTTGTATGGTGCTTGACACAGAGATAATTCACAGTAGTCTACCAGTGACAATTTTGTAGAAGATGATGACTGGCTAGAAGCAATATTTTCTTTATCGTTCATATGTTCCACCAACACGTGCATCATTTCAAGCTTTAACACATAATCAGAGTATTGCGCCATTATCTAAGATGCTAAATCATGTCAGAGCTTGTTCTCTTTCTCTCTCACACACACTCTCCTTCTCTTGTCCTCTTGTGTGTTGGCCCCCTGGGTGATCAAGTTTCAGCCCTCTGTCCTCCTGGCAGGCAGAGGGATTAAATGTTCATGCATTGGGAAGTTACACCACCAGTGTCTGAGCAGGAACATGCTTCTCAGACTGTAATCAAAGCACTATCTTTCATTCTCTGTCTCATTTACTCACTCTTATATTTGTCTTACTCTTTCATAGTTTTTGATAAGTTTCTGAACTATGAAAGATTATTAGCAATTTTGTCAAAAGATATAATCTCTGGTGTAATTAGCTAATTCATACCAATTACAGTAATGTTGTTATGGTGTTTAATGTGTTGAAACACCTGTGACATATAAATCTAACTTTGTCACAGATCTTATTAACAGCTGATCCTCCACATTCCAAAGTGTTTTATTGGGAATGTTGGCTTATAGCAGATGAGTAGCCTGGTCAGGAAATGACTCCCCTAATATTTCATATACATTTGAGGAATGCATCCATATGTGTGGTATAGAGTGAGCATTGTACATTTCCCAGTACAACAAACTGAGTCCTGTACAAGTGTCACTGTAAAATTCTCTGTAAATGGGTTGATGATATGACACGCCATAACATCCTTTATTTTATTTATCCTTTTATTTATTTTCTTCTCCCCCCTAATAATGTCAATTGCGTTTTGGTGGTCAAGTCCTACTAAATGTATTGGCTAGTTTGGAACTGCAAACTAGCATACTACTCTTACTTTTTCTGCCATTAAGATATGATAAAGGTACAGTATGAGTATACAAGTATGTGGTTCTGAATTCAGCATATATCTCCTGTTTCTTTTCTGTCTATACATATTTTTTTTCGAAACCAAACTATTTTTCCGAACTCTTTCTAGGCTGTTCGTCTGATCTTTACCAAACTTTGCACAAAGCAGTAACATTATAGACTATGTTTGCGAAAAGTAGTCGAAACAATTTTGATACGAGCATTGCAAGGATATTAATTAATTAAATTGTTGGACATTATGCATTTTGACAAATGGACTATATCTTGTGTACACAAAGTCAAAGTTTAAGGAAACTTATTACACGGCTCTGTGGAATACTTGATTCTGATTGGTCAATAGCGCCATCCAGCGGTAGCCTGACTACGTCAGACTTCGTACTTCCGCTCAATTTCATTTCGCTTA